CCTAGGAGGACAACTCCTTGGGAGGATGTACAATGGGTCACATGTGGCCTAAGTGCGTGGGCTTACACTCACCCTCCCTACTCTACAGATACAGATATAATGCTATCCTGACCACAAATACAGAGTGATTCAGCTGTACATATAGCTGCCTACATTTCTTGGTTACAATTGTGAAATTAAGAATAATAGAAAAAATTGACTATGAACCCGCAAATGAATACATTTTATTCTCTACCTAAAAAACCATTGATGATTTTGTTAAAAAAAAATGGCGTGGCATGTTAACAAGGACGCCACTGATGAATTTTAAAAAACCTTTACCATGGAAAAGTTTTTATATTACATAATTTGTGTAATGCAATGAATTGACGGGTGATACATTTTTTAAATGTATCAAATTAACTATTTAAATTATCTGCTTCTTGCAAGTATGCAAGCTTCATCTCTACTTCTCCCAATTCTTCTCCAGTTTGAATTGGTTGACTGTACACCAAAGTCTTGAGATGTCACCAAAGAAAATAATCAAGTCTGGCGACCTAGGTGGCTATGACTTTGTTTCCCCACTACCTATCCAGCAATTATGAAAGTTTTGGTTTAAATATTCGCGTGGCAGAGCATTGAAATGAAAACATATTTCAACAGAATTGCCAAATTATCTTCCAGGAAATCGGTGATAGTATGTTCGTTTAATTTGCGTGGTGAAAAAAGGTTCAATTAGGTTATCTCCTATAATTCCAGCAGACATTTAATGAGAACTGCTTCTGGTGATGAGATTCCACGATTGCATGAGGATTTTCCTAAGCCCAAAAATGATTATTATGAAAATGTCTTATCCTTATATGAATAAAATTTCCCTATCTAGAAGTGACAGCGTTTCCTCCATTGCAAGCAGTTCATCTCAAAAGAGGCAGCTTGAACAAGACGATCCCACCATTATTGTACCTGCTAAGAAAAATCTTCTTAATAGGCAGCTATAGACCTTTAGTTCAATTTTTTCATACTATTAATGTTATTTAGATTGTTTAATCAATTTTGAGTGTAATATACGTATTCATTTCATTCTAGTTGATAGTTGTTTGACTAAGTATTGTTGTGGCTCTCGTACTATTTCTCTCGACGAGTTTTTATTTTAATATTTTTTATTGTGAAGAAGCACTTTAGTAGTGTAAAATAGCTATGTTCATTACGGTGGGTCACGTAAACATTTGTTCTTTGGTCCCGAAAATTAATGAAATCAATTCTTTAATTCAGTCAAGAAATTTTCATATATTAGGGGTTTCAGAAACTTGGTTACATCCTAGTATCCCTGACAGCTTTATAAACGTTGATGGTTATTCATTGATTGATAGAGTCGCTAAACGTGGAGGAGGAGTAGCTTTTTTTATCAAAAGCTCGTTAGAATACAAAGTTTTAATTTCTGAAAATGAAAGTTTCCTTGAACACCTGTGGATAGAAATTCGGTTAGGAAAAGAAAAAATTGCTGTAGGAGTATGTTACAGACCTGCTAAAACTGATTATGTGGCTTTCCTGAACAGATTCGAAAACATTTTGATAAACATTCATCCCGAATTTAAGCATATTATATCTCTTGGGGATTTCAGTATCGATTATTTCAATACAGATTCTAACTTATTAGATGATTTTAGATCATTAACTGAATCATTCAATTTCACGCAAAATATTTCTGATGCAACT